GACACTCTCCAGATGAAGTCAGGCAGAGAGCAGGAGGCCCTGCTGGGGAGAGGGAGTCCTTCACCTCAGTGCCACGCCACACTCAGAATGGCTATGTGGACTGGGAGGACTGCAACCTTACACAGCAGGGTCCTTCCAACATGGACGAATGGACACATTCATGCCACAGTATGCATGGGGTTCTGGGGCTCCAGCTTAGGTCACCAGACTTGCAGGGAAGTGCTGAACAGGAACACCACGCGTTTCTCTTCAGTTCCCAGTCCCCACCACTGAGCTTCCTATAGTCTAGCCTATTTATTTATTGTAAACTAGTTGTCCTTTTGTGTCAGGTTTGCTTGCAGGTTAGCCTTTTTTTCCCAACGTTTATCTGTCTTACGACAATTAGACCTCTCATAGCCGGGCGGTGGTGGCACACACCTTTAATCCTAGCAGGCATATACAGCTGTACAGACATATACGTATGTGCACACCATTGAAAAGAGATGAGATGTTAAATTATCTGTTTCTTTTTGTTTTTGTTTTTCAAGACGGGGCTCCCCTGTATAGCCTTGACCGTCCTGGAATTCACTCTGTAGACCAGGCTGGATGAACTCTGAGATCCACCTGCCTCTGCCTCTCTAGTGCTGGGATTAAAGGCGTGCATGGCCACCGCCTGGCTCCAGCTGAATAATAGTCCATCTGTATTTCATTCGCTTGTCTGTCACTGGTAGACACTGGGCTGTTTTCACGTTTTGATGGTTGGGAAGAGTGTTTTTATGGACATGGGTATACTTACGTCTATTTAAGCCTCTTCTTTCAGTTCTTTTGAGCATATAGACAGAAATGAAATTGCTGGATCATATGGCAATCCTATGTTTAGCTTACTGAGGAGCTGCCAGGCCATTTCCCTCTGTAGTGGCACCGTTTGCACGACTGTCAGCCTTGCACACAGGCTCCCAATTCTGCACATTGTTACCACTTTTGTTGACAACAGCCATCCCAGTAGACAAGAAGGGGCATCGTTCTGTGGATCTCACTTGTATTCCCTGATGACCGAGGCTGAACATTTTTGTGAGTGTGCTTACTGGCCATTGTACATCATTCTCAGAGAAGTATCTATTGGAGTCTGTTTAACATTTTTGAATTTTAAAGGCTTTTATTTAAGTGTGTGTGTAGATCAGAAGAGGGCATCAGATCCCTTCGAACTGGAGTTACAGGTGGTTGTAAGCCACCGGATACGGTTACTGGGAGCTGACAACAGGGCCTCTGGAAGAGCAGCCAGTGCTCCCAACTATTTAGCCATCTCTCCAGTGCCGGGTTTTTATTTCTGGTTTTTGTTTTTTTCATATTTAACATCTTTTGAAAAATGGTTAGTGTCTGAACTAATTCACATGTTGATGGTAACTAGACTTACTTTTTTTTTGTTTTTGTTTTTTCCAGACAGGGTTTCTCTCTGTAGACTTGGCTGTCCTGAACTTGCTTTGTAGACCAGGCTGGCCTCAACCTCAGAGATCGGCCTGCCCCTGCCTCCCAGAGTGCTGGGATTATAGGCGTGTGCCACCACACCCACCCTGGCTACTAGATTTACATTTCTTCAGAAACGTTAGCACACTTGTTTTTATTTTGTGCGTTTGGACACATTGCACGGTACATGTACGGAGTGAGAGGACAACCCAAGGGAATCCAGTCTGCTCTGTCTAGGTTGTTAGGCTTGGGAGCAAGTGCTCTACCCACTGAGCCATCTTACCAGGCCCCAAAGTATCAGCAGTGTAACCTCACCTGGGCGTCTGCTAGACTCCCCTGTCCTCAGAAGCAAGAGCTGAACCCAGGACCTCATGTATGCTAGTCAAGGGCTCTACCCACTGTACTACCTAGCCCCCACCCTCGCCTGGGCTCCATATTTTAAAATGCCGGTGGTCAGGTTGAAGTTTGAAATAACTTTTAGTTCTGAGTTAGTAAGAATGGGGGGGGGGGTAGTATTTTCTTACTGTGGTGCGATATGCAGGCTTCTACAGACTCTTTCCACCTAGGCTTCGGGGATTGAACTCAGATCCTCGACCTTGGTGGCATCTTCGCTGGCTGAGCCACCCACTCGGCATGGCCCAAGATAGTATTCTTCTAAAGCGGAATTCAAGATCAGACTGCAGGAGAGCCGAACAAGGCGAAAAGGCCGGCAAGAACCCGAGAAACAAGAAGCAGGAGCCTTTATTATCATAGTGTAGGGCCGAGCTCAGAAATCAGGAACTGGCAGCCCAGAAGCCCGCGTGTGTGTGTGTACAAGGTCAGTTTACAAGCCCGTCCTGGGCTCCCACCACCTTGGAGCGAAGCTGCCGGGGAGAAGCCAACTCTGAAGAGTAAACCTGTGAGAACACAAAGCCCTGGACGGTGGATACATAACGGGTTTTGGCCGGGTGCACACCTGTGAGTTCTCCTACAGACCACGCAGATGGTGAGCAACTTCGGGGCCGACCAGCCCCAGGCCTACTGGGGGCAAGCAAAAACCGTGACTGGTGTGTTTGCGAGAGACTTCTCCCGCGTTGTCATTCAGAAAGGGTTTTTAATCTAGTTTTAAAACCGAGTTTGACGGTTGAAACAGTCACGGAAACCTCCCACGGCCGGCATCTGGGTGTGCCCTTTAGCAAACAGGCCGGGATAAAGCCTGAGACGGGCAGCGCTCCCCAAAACGCACAGCGACCGGTTCAGGGGCCCAGAGGACTCACGCGGGCCACCTCTGCCACGAATTTCTGGGACGCGTAGGTCAGAGGGAGGCCACACCAAAGTGGGTCTCTTGAAAGGCGGCCCCTGTGGTCTTCAAAGCTGTGACCTTAGACCCTCCTAAATCTTTAGCCAGTCTCTAGCACCCAAAGGATTTTCAAAATAACTGCATCCAAGGGGTCCTTAGAAGACGCGCGCCTCAAGTCTGGTAAGCTTGGGGGCCCTGAGGACAAGGAGTCCGTTCCCTTCCGGGGACAGCGGTTGGATGTCGCCGGTCATGGCCAAGGAATCCAGCCCAGATGCTTTCCGGTCCGGCGAGGCCGCTGCGCCCCACCGTCGCTGAAGAGTCCAGATTCCAATCGCAGAGCACCGAGGCACTTGTGGACTCGTGATCGCGAAGAGGGCACCGCACAAGCGACCCTCGGGCCTCAGAGAGGCTTGGGACTTGAACAAGGCAAGGCTTTCAAAAGAGCCCCAGCGACACCCAGACAACAGAAAGACTTTTTTTTTTTTTAAATGTGCAAAAACATTTGGCTTCCCGTAGCGAACACATCGTGGCAAGTTCCAGCACACGAACCAGTCTCCGAGCGCACCCGCAGCCGGCGCTGCTTGCCCGACACGGTCTCCCGGATCTGGGATCTGGGAGCGCAAGTGCCCCCTGTGGCCGGCCCGAGCCTGACCTCGCCGGGCTGGGACGGCATCGGTGGCCTGCGCCGGGCCCAGGAGGAAGTTGGAGCCTCGGGGCCGAGTAGCGGGCAGGTCGGCTGCGCGGGCGTGGTGGGGGCCCTGCAGGGCAGGGGCCCACCCTGGGGACCGCGCCGAGGCCCGCCGGAGCTCCAGTCTGCCCCACGTGGCGGGCCCCACGTGGAAGGGGCGGAGGAGGAAGGAGAGTGAGGGCGGATGGAGTCACCGCACCGGCCGCAGGACCCCCGTCTGGTCCTCAGAGCCTTCAGGGAGGTGCGGGGCTGGGCCGGGGAGTGCCTGCTTTGCCTGGCCCCGTCGGCTGCCCGCAGAGCCAAGGGAGCACTTTCGCATAGCTGCTAATCCCTAGAGAGAGCCGATTTGTAGTGAGAAGTATCTGTAGGGGCGAGACCGGACCATGTGGGGTTGTGTCATTGGTTTGCAAAGAGAGACCCCGCCTTTGGAAAAAAAAAAAAAAAAAAAAAAGAGCGAGCGAGCGAGGGACCCTCACCTCGCTCGCCGCCCGCCTCGCTCCTGCGCTGTCGGAGGGCACCGGAGCAGGCGGCCCGCGCTGCTTCCGTCCTTCTCTTTCCTTTTCTCTGCGCTTTCCTCCTCCTTCCCGGGAGGAGAAAACAAATAAAGAAGAGCAAATAGCCGGGAGGCGCTCGGCTTTCAGGACCTTCCCTCCCCGGATCCAAGTTGCAGCCAGCATCCTCTGGGGGGGGTGAGCGCGGCGCGGGGCGGGCGCGGGCCAGGGACCCCCAATGCAGCCCCCGCCAGGCCGCGGGGCTGGCAAGAGGGCGCGCGCGGCCGGGACGAGGTGTAGCGTGTGTGTGTGTCGGGGGGGGGAGATCGGGAGCTGATGGGCGGGGGAAGGGGGTGGGGTGGGTGGGGAAGTAGGAAGAGGCTCGGCGGCGACGGGAGGAGGAGGAGGAGGAGGAGGAAGGGAAGGGAAGGAAGGGAGGGAAGGGAAGGGAAAGGAAGGGAGGGGAGGGCGGGAGGGGGTGGGGCGCGGAGCTGGAGAGATTAAGTTTTTGTGTGTGTGTCTCCGTGTGCGTGTGTCATTTTAAGGTGGCTCGGGAGCGGCCCGGAGGAGCCAGCTGCGGCCAGAGGAGCGAGAGAGCGAGCCGGGAGCCATGCCGCGCTGAGGGGGGGGCCCCGCACCGCCAGCGCCACCACCGCCGCCGCCGCCGCCGCCGCCGCCGCCGCTGGGTGGGGTGGGAGGGGCGGGAGCCACCGCTACCGCCGCCGCCTCCCGGGTGGGCGCCCTTCTCCTCGGACGCCGGCGACCCAGGACGAGGTAAGGGGGGGGGGGCCCCGGGGGGGCCGGGGGCCGCCGCCCCCCCCGCCTCACCTGCAGCCGCTGGCTGGGGCGCCGTGCCCGCGCCTCACTGCGCCACTCCGGAGGAGGAGGAGGGCGAAGGACACCGGGCCGGCATCCGAGGACATCTTTGGTCAGCGCCCCCGGCCCGTGTCTACACCCTACGCCCGAGGGTGGACGCCCGCTTGGGGGGTCCGCCGCCCCTAGCCACCGATTGCGCCCTACTGGCCACCCTTTGCGCCGGGATTTTTGTTGTTGTGATGAGAGTTGATGAATGCGAAGTAGGCGGTCACCTTCCTTCCCATCAGGATTGGAAAAAAAAAAAAAAAAGGAAAGAAAAACCCGGAGCGCAGCGGCGTCCTGAGGGCAGCGGCGGCGGCGGCGTCTGGCGACGGTTTCCTAGGCGCCCCCCGGCTTGCTCCCGGAGCCCGGAGGGTGCGCGCGCGGGGGCTGCCGGTGATCTCGGACGAGCGCGCAGCGCGCCGCGGGGACAATACGGCCGGATCCCTGGGGACCAGGAGTCCGTGCTTGCCAGGGTGCGGCAGGCCTTGCGCCTGTGAGGCGGGCGGGCGCGGGGAGGGAGGGGGTGCAGACCAGGGTCGGCAGGGACAAGTCGGGGCGCGCGTGGCTCGGGGCCCCTGGGGGTGCGGCCCCGGTCGGCCCGGGATCCCGCGCGGCTCCCCGAGAGTGTAAGTGAGAGGCCGGGAGAGACGCGGAGCGGCTCCCTTTTGTTTTGCCGGCCCGGCATTGTTGGCTTCCTCGGGGCAGCCGGGGCCACATCTGCCGCCGCCGCCGCCAGTGGCGCGCGGGGCTCGGCCCGCCAAAGTCGCGGCGGGGCGGGGGGCCGGGGCGGGCTGCAAGGGCGGGGGCGGGCGGCGCGGGCATTTCCTCTGCCCGGCCGCGCTCCCGCGGGCACCACTTCCTCCTCGCCCTCCACCCGCTGTCCTCGGCGCCCTCGCCGAGGCGGCACTTTTCGGGTGGGGCGAAGCAAAAAAGAAAGTTTCGTAGAAGGGGCTGGCTGGGGCGCGCCGGGTGCACCGGGGACCCAGCGTGACGCGGGTACGGCCGCGCTGCCGCGGTCGCCTCCTTGCGCCTCGGGTGTTCCGCGGAGCCCGGATCGACCTGCGGAGAGAGCCTTTCTTCTCCGGCTCGCGCCCTCCCCGGTGCCTCGGGCGACCGGGGGCCGGGCCGCGCGGGAGTGCCGGCACGCCCAGGCCTTGATCCTGCGGGAGGCCCCGCGGCGTGGCCGGTCGCCTGCCAGCCCACGCTGTGCCCAAGGGGCTCCGAGGCCGCGGGCCCGAGAGCTCGGCGCGGTCACCGCGGGCACACACTCGCGCGCACACACTCCCTCCGGTGGCTTGCTCTCCGCCGGCGACGATGGTCGCGGACCGCGAGGGTTCGTGTGCGCGCGTGTTGGGGGTACCCCTGCCCAGCCCCCACCTCCTACTTTTCCCAGATGCGTCCCAAGCAGCGTTTGGCTTCAGGGGAACCCCCAAATGTTTACGATTTTTGTAGAGGAGCCGGGGAATATCTTATGAAATCTCTGCGTGCTTGGAGGCTGTTGGCAATGGCCTACGTCCCCACGCCAGGCTCCCAACCCGGGCATAGACCTTTCTGTATATTTGCCCTATTTTTTTTTTTTTTTAACAGATAGGGGAACTTTTAAGGTGTTATTAGATGCGAGTGACTTGAAGAGAACTCTATACGTTGGAAATGTAAAATCCTAAACGCTTTTATTTGCAATTCTTTGGGACGTGTGTATTTTTATCTGAGGTGGGTTATTTTTTGAGGGAACAATGTGTTGGGGTAGAGGGGTTACAGAAGTGGTTCTGCTTTCTAACTTTGGCGGGATGCATCAATTGTGGGACCTCGTTTAGAAGAAGATACGGCCTTCCCTCCTCGTGCTGGGTTCAAAGACAGTTTAAAAATTACCTCGCGTTTCGGCTCCTGGGGCTGCTGTCTGCCTCTATAGGATTCTCAAAGAACTAGTTTCCATTTACTTCGGAGAATTCTGGTTTGAAACATTTTTAAAAATAAATCTTTTACATCTTGAGTAATGGGACTTTAAAAGGGTCTTGTTTTTATAATTACTTTATTTCAAAGAGTACTTCTTAACAGCAATTACAAAGTAATATTTTAAATGCTAATTCAACATTTCTAGCCCAGAAACTTTAACGTGAAAACAAGGTTTCCTTTTTATTTTTCTAAATAGCAACTGTATCTTAAAGTTGGAGCATTGAATATCCTTTTGTCTGGCTCTGACACACTCCTGGAAAAACCCCCAGCGCCCTTTTTATAGCCCCCCAAAGAAAAGTTAATGAGCTGGTAGGTTTCAAGCAAGAAGCAGGCCCTCCCTCTTGCAAAATATGCTTATAGTAGCCATTGAAGTTGAATGTTAGCCGTGAATGTACTTGCCTTTAATGAAACCAGTTTAATCGTTCACACTTGATCAAGTATAACATGACCAAACAAAGGAAATAAGCCAGCATATTTCTGTAGAGCATTGAGGGGTTTAGTCTAAGTGTTGATGTTGGGTCGCTCGCCCCTCCCCCCACCCTGCCCCAGTTCAAGGGAGAGAGGGTTGAAAGCTAGGGGGATTTATGACACTGATTGGTTTTTCTGTGCCCCAGGGGTAGGGGGACATGGTACGTCTCTGTGGAAAGCAGCTATTAGAGGGAATTAAAAGATCTCAGGTTTGCACTTAGTTCAGAACCTGACAAGGTGCGTTTTGCTTTCTTGTTTGGGGAGATACTTAAGCTAAAGGACTGTGCTCCCCCCCCCTTTTGTACTGGCACGTTAATAAGGGAGAGTGGAGGGCGGTGTGGTGTGCCCTGCTGAGGGGAGCTCACTACCACGTGAGTTATTTACGGTTTCACTTGGGAGCTTTGAAACTGGCCCTTGAATGGGTGTTCTTGTGGGGGAGGGGCAGGGTGAATTACCTTTTCTTAGCTGTGATTAAAAAAAAAAACCCTTTGTCCCTCAGATGCATTTTCTTGCTAAGCTTGAGTTGCAGTTTATGTGTGGGATTTAGCCATCAATATAAGTGGAGAAATGTCTGTAAAATACAAGAGTTTACTTCAGAGTTAAGAAAGTAAAAAAAAAAAAAAAAAAAAAAGTTTATCCACCGGAAAACAAGCACTGCCACTGTAACATACTCTGTGACATACTTTGTGAAATATTTTGGCCTTTTAAGACTCAGGCACACCTGTTCCTGTCCCTGCTGAGTCGTTTGCCTTCCCTGGCATTGTTAATCTGGCCCCTGTACACAAGATGAAACAGTAAAACTTGCTAGTGGAATAATTATTAACTACTTCATCTGTTACCCTTTCAGGGAATAATCGATAACTTCACTCCTGAGTTTAAAAACTTTTAGACAGGAATTCTCCTGTAAGCCTATAATGTGTTTTAAAGAAAAACTGAGTTAGGGAAACAAACAAAACTGAATACCTGTACCATTTCCAGTGTTCTGAGAGAGAAGTCAGTAGATGGCAGGAATCCTGCTCAGCCAGCAATGTACGGGACTTAAACGCAAGGTCATCAGGAACCTTTAAAAAAGTAAAGGGAAGTGAGCCCAGGTTGGCATGTTTTGTTTGAAATTCGTATTTTCTTATTTTTTTTAATACTGAGTTTTAGAGATAGGGTCTCTCTCTCTAGCCTTCACTGTCCTGGAACTATGTAGAACACTGGCCTGGAACGCACAGAGATCTGCCTGCTTCTGCCTCTGGTGCAAAGGCGTGGGTCACCATACCCAGCCTTTCTCATTTTTACTGACTTAACTAAAAAATAGAAACAGACATGCAAAAGGACACCTTTCAAGGCTTCCGCCGCCTTGTAGCAGGGGAATGCCTTGCCAAAAGCAGACACTGGCATAATGAATCATTTTTGAAGGTGAAGTTATCCCTTTTGCACTCAGTGCTGTTCCTAAATGGAGAAAATCTTGTTAAAACAGTTTACAGCATCTGTAAATGGTGGCCCCAGTTGCCATTTTTTAACACTGTCACTTCAGTATAGAGGGGCTGTCATCATAATGTATGTGGGTTCAGTCTGGGTCCCTCTGCTAATAATCTTTCTATTAACAGAAAGCAGCAGCCAAGTGTCCTCCATCCTGATGCAGGCCACACAGAAGTACAAGCATGACACACACACAGCACATGGTTTGGAAGGGACATTTACCCATCATGCTGGGTGTGAATAACTCAGCTAATACGACCGTGTCCAGGTGATAACAGTTCCATCATAGAGGGTGGGACACAATTTTATAGTCTTTAAAAAAAAAATAGTGCAGTTTGACCCTTCAAAGAGGAATCCTTATTACTAATAGAAAATAGCACCTTTTGGTGAAATCTTACCTTCCCGACAGTCTTATGGTGGGCTGGTGGCTCAGGAATGAATGCTTACGGTGAGGCCTGTGTGTGCTGAAAACTTTTGTGGGTACAGGAATGCTTGGTTGGTAACTTGTAGGCCTGCTTAGGTTGATGACCTTACCTCTCTTACCTCTTACAGCTGGCAAGCATGGCCTAATTTACTTTGGCTGCAACTTAAAGTTACACCTCCTGTGGGAAGCAGGGAAAATTTGAAGCTTTCCCCATTCCCATCTTTTGAAGTTGGTTTTTATTCAAGTCTAGTTTTAATGGAATGAATATGTGTCGTAGGGTTATAAAAGGGTTTTTTTTTAAAGCCCTATCTCTGATTCAGAAAATTATATTTAATAATCGCCAAAAACTTGAGAACCATTTTAAAAGGTGTTCAGTGGCTCTTTTGATCATGATTTAATGAAAAATATCTGAAAGCTATCAGTGTGACTCTAATGACAGCCACAAATGAATGTTTGGACCAAATGTGGAGTTTGCTTTTAGATGTCATTATTAGTGTGGAAGGCCTAAATTATGGCTGCACTTGGGCATTCAGAACTTACCCTATGAAAAGAAGGTCTTTGCAGATTGTTGGGAAGAGGGGGGGATTCACAGAGGAGTATAGAATGCACAATGGTGAGAGAGCCAGGCTATTGTTTGTGTGGAATGTTGACAATGGGAGCCAAGGGGCAGTTTCGCCTTCTGCAGGCTCACAGAAGCGGGATGGGAACCAGCCTGGCATTCATTTGCCTTGGTCAGGCATGGAAATTTGGCCAGCTTCTCTTCCTGAGTTTTTCTTAGAAGGTGGTCTTATTGGACTCCTAGAGAATACATGCTTTGGCTTCTTAGCAATCTGCATTCTTTTTGAGGAAAGAGTACAAGAGTAAATAAAAGCAGTTTCCAACAGAAGCATTAAGAATAACAACTCCCCCCCCCCTTTCAAATTTGATATTAGGAGAAATACATATATATATATATATATATATATATATATATATATATATATATATATATATATGCATGCCAGACACTGAGGCAACTGGAGTCCCAGGAAGGAGCTGTTTGTTTTTAATTCCTGCCTGTGTTTCTGCTGTGCCTTTAGGGACAGTCACTTACACTGGGTATTTGCTGTAGGGCCTGTCTGTCTGTGGCTCCTGTTATTCTTTCTGAAAAGGCCTTTCTGAGTCTTCATTCTCAAAGCCTTCCCTCTCACATCCATGTGGGGCCCATGATGGCTCAGGTGACAGGCAATCCTGGTACCTCGTAAAAGCCTCCATCCAAACTGGAGTCATGTGTGTAATTGTCTATTCCCAGAGCTGCTTCTATCTGGTATTTAGCAATGTGCAGTCATAACTTTGAGGCCCCTTGGCAGTTTCCATCCCTACCTAGCTCTGTCCCTAGTGGATGCTTCGGCATGCCCTGCTTTATTTAGCTGTGCACATAACTTAGGTTTAACTGTTTAGTTAGAGTGGACTTCAATTTCATAGAAATTGTGATAAAATGGTTGGGTTCTGACTAACGGAGCAAGCGGTCAGTTATGTTAGTTTTATAGGGAATTGTGACTTCTGTCCTCGGGAACTCTTTCTCCCAGCAAACTTTCTCTCCAGCCCCCCAAGCTAGGGTAGTGTTTGGAGGATGCTAATCCTGAGTAGCTGGTGACTAGGTTTGCCTTGGCTGGAAAACCCCTGCCGAAGGGGGAGGGTGGTGCCTTTTATTCATTATGCTTATAAAAATTCTTATTTGTAAACTACGAAAGGAAATACACCTTACCCTATGCTTTTTTTTGGGAGGGGGTTGTCTAAATTCCTTATCCTTCCCCCACCTCACAAGTGCAGGGATTAAGACTTACAGTGCTCCACCACACCTGGCTTATGGTATTGAATTTTTTTTTCTTTTTTCTGGATTCTGGTCATCATGTGCGTCTTGCATTACAACATCCTGAATTACGGTTTAAATTGCCTGGCTTTAAAGATTGTTTGCTAGGAGATAGTAGCAGCAGCTTTGTGTATTTTTGGAGCCCAGATTGAGGCCTGGGCATGTGGAGTACAGCATGGGGCTTGTAAATTCAGCCTCATTTGTGGCTCTGCTCCTATCATGCTTGAAATTTGGCCTTCAGCTATCTCACT